GTGGGGGCTCACTAGCCTTTTATAGGAATTTAGTGGCCAATCAGATTGCTTTGTATATAGAAATTTCTGGTCAAATTATGTCATGCTTTTGCCAGCTGAGCATGTGTTGGATCAAGCTCTGTGTAGTAACTAAGCATGCGCCTGTGGAGAGAGTAGGTCAGTGCTGACTGACAGGTCCTGAGGTCACCCAGGGGGCACGTGCTGGGTGAGCCCTGGAATTTTCCACTCACAGAGTTGATATGCGCATGTCAGTTCCAGCTCTTCTGTGTTGTCAGCATACAACCATAAATTTTACCGTGACACCACCAAATCAGCCAAATCTCTGAATTCAAACAGGCCCATCTCCCACCCACTCTCTCAGCCCCATCAATGGCTGCCCCGCCCAACCCCAGCCTCCTGGCTCTTTAAAAAAAAAAAAAGCCCCACACTCACCAGGTGCTGCCAGGCAGGGGAGGGCAATCCCTGCTGCCCCCCACTGCCCCACGTTGCATGGGGGTCCCTGCCATGTGCCTCCAGAAACCCCAACAGCTGCTGCTGCAGCCGGTGAGTGAAGGGCTTTTTTGTTTGTTTGTTTTTTTAAAGAACCAGGAGCTGGGCCAGGCAGGGCGGCCATGTGGGGGGCTAGGAGAGCAGGATGGGGGCTTGTGGCAGAGCCCCCCCACACAGCGTGGGGCAGTGGGGATCAACCCCACACCTAGCAGGAGTGGGGGCTTTTTTTCTTTTTCTTTTTTTAAGAACTAGGAGCTGGGACAGGCGGGGCAGCTGGGAGAGTGGGCGGGGACCAGGGGTGCTCAGGCTGGACTGGGGGAGTAGGCAGGGGATGGGGCCTGGCAGGGATCCCCCCATTGCCCCCTCCTCCCTCCTTCAGCACCCTCCCCTCCTGCCATCTACTTACTGGCACGGAGTCTGGGTCCAGCTCCCTGCAGCGGAGAGTGGGGACTGCCCAAATCTCCAAAGCTCTTCAAATCTTTTACGAATCAATTTGGAGTGCTTCAAATCTATTTGGACCTTTTTATTGGTGTCCTGATTCAATTCGGATTCAGAGATTCGACCACCGAATCAAGCCGAATCTCCTCCAAATTGAATCAGCACCTGAAGCTTCACCCAGCCCTAGTTGACAGCAATGGGGTAAATTTTTTCTCTTGGTTAAGTCATTCTCATTTGACAGGAAGACACGATCAGTACTCTAATACTACACATAAAATTGTATCTTGCCTTGTAGATCTTGTAATTTCTGTCTTAGGAAAACCACATCCTTATGCAAGGAAGACACTGCTAATGTGTGGAAAAGGCTCTCATCATTTGTAGCACATCCATGTAATATAGCCTCACTTGTTCTAAATAGCTCTTTCCTTTTTTCCATTTCTTGTTATTCCCTTCAAACCTCTACCTAACTTCCACTCTCTATTTCTCCTCCTCGGTTATGTTCAGCCTCTCAGAGATGTCAATCTCTATCTTCCACTATGTCGTCTTCTATGCAGAACTTCCTTCTTGAACTTATTTGCAAAGCCCTAGTCTCTCTATAAACCAGTTCTGAAAGTCATGTCTATTATACTGCCTGTGGAATATTTCCTCCTCCCTGCATTCCAGGGCAACAGCTCCTGGCATTTTGGGTGCTCTGGGCACCAGAACTCTCAGCACTTGAAGCACTCCAGGGCTACAGTGCAGAGAGCAACTACTAGGTCCTAGGTCACTGCAAAATGCTTAACAAAAAAAGGAACACACAACAGCAAAGGCAACATTTATGATTATTAAATATACTAATACGCAGTGCGTCCTGCCATGTACCCCTCCCTCCCCCGCCCTCATTTTGTTTTTCTGGCATGCCAGCACTCCGGAACCATCCAAGGTAGACATTGTGGGTTTTTTGGCACCCCAGCCAAAAAACATTGCCTACCCCTACACTAGGCAGTGCCCAAGTACCAGGAGCCCTAGTGGCTGAAGCACCTGGATCACAAGGAGCAGTGGCATCCCAAGTGCTAGGAGCCTCAGCATTCAGGGAGTGCAGGAGGATGGGAGGTGCAAGCAGTAGCAAGGATGCTGGAGATAGGGTGCTGGGGTTGGGGGGGCACTACATTTTGGAATCTGTTTTGGGCCCAATAATCCATATGGACCCTAGGGTGGAACAAAACAGAACCTGAAGGGAGCAGGTGTTATTATACCATGTTTGGGGACATTTTATACCACTCATATGGTCATATGGTCTATACCACACTTAAGATTCACTTAATAACCTATTAAGCTGTTACCCAGACACACATTAATGCAATTAATATGGTGTGATGAAACACAGCATAAGCCACAAAGTCATTACACAATAATTGTAAAATGTAAAAATGCAATATTTTTTTAGCTGGTTCATATCATGCCATTAAATGAAAGGATGACCAATTTTGGGCTTCCAGCTGTGCGGCATGCTTCCATGGTTGGGAGCCCAAATCAGCTGAGGGGCTCCCAGCTGCAGGAACTTGATACTTGCTGGTTCAGGAAAATCATGATCCCAAGCTCCCCTTGCATTGACAATAAGATGTGATGGGATCCAATACTGGATCCCACAATCATGCCTCCTGCCATGTGGCATGGCAGGAAGCAAGACTCTGGGGATCCCATCTACCAGGGGCTAAACACATTTCAAAGCCCCTTTAAAGTGTTATGTCTGTCCACCACTTTGGAGAATGCCATGATAACAATGGTTGTGACTTCCCAAAATTGCAAAGCAAAAAAACAAAGATCATTAAACTAAATTCTTAAATAAAATAGGCAAGACTGTTCAGCCAGTCCCCTAACTCCAATATGTTCCACCTAAGATGATCTGCACACCAATGGCAACAATGTATTAATAAAAAAAGTGTAATAGGCTTTTTCCTTCATGATTTGCTTTCCCCTACATCCCTTGTCCTGGCAAATATGCCCAAGCAGCATATTTCTTTTGTCTCCTTTAAGAGACACTGTATACTTGAAATTTAGCCAATTAAAATAACAAACTTCAAAGAGTTTCAGATAACACCCCTGGCAGAAAATTGAGTTTCTGCCCATTTTTAGTTTGACAATCTCATTTTCCTAACTTTTAAGCACTTTCTTTTTGCAGTGACACACATAACTACAAGGGAAAACTAATTGGCTGACTCCACACTAAATGTTGTCAAACATGCAAAGTATCAGACTGAAAACTGAGTATTTTCTCTAACATTTTCCAGCTATCATGATCTTAGGGATCACTAGCTGAGAAGGCTAGAGGAGTTCTTGCATACCTTCTTTTCCATTTAACTTGAAAGCCTTTTGTTCAAGTAATATGCTAAAAACCTCAGAGTAATCTAAAAACAATTTATAATTTCTATTAAAGTCAGGTCTCCTACATAAAGTTGTCCGTGCCAACATTTTCCCTCTCTTCAGTTTCTTGTCCGCTATTGTACATGTGGACCCTTTGACAAAACTCCAAGGAATAAGCCCCCTACTGCTTGAAGTTGAAACATTCCAATCCAAAACTCATGTCCTATGTTCAAAGAAATAAGTACTCAACAGTCCTTCACAAGCTTCAGGGGTTTCCCTCTTTACCCCTCCCAAGATTCAGTCAATAGTCCCCACCAGGGTTTGTCCCAACCGACATTCTATTTCTGTTATGCAGAAACAGAATAAGGAGGCTTCCTCCCAGTACTTTTGGATCAGGGATGTCAAACTCGACAGGCGCCATCGGAGGGCCAGCCCTGTGCACCACGTGCAACATATGCCCTGAACCAGCCCCATGCACTGTGTGCTGCAGGAAGGGCTAATCCAGTGCATACTGTGTGTAGCATGTGGATCCAGTCTGAGACTCACTGGTGGCACCACAGGCTAGATGATAAAGCTCTGTGGGCTGAATCTTTGACAACCCTGTTCTAGACGTTCTAGCTGGAGCCCTATGTGAGAATCAGTACCAACACTGGCTTCTAGTCCACAGTAGAAGCATACAGTTCCAGGGTGCCTTTTCTTTTTCCTCTATATCTTCCTGGACCTCCCATGCCCTACCCATTTACGTTTCTTCTTCACAGCTTCCACTGGACCAGCTACTGTCTGGTTCTTTTGTCAGAAGTCCATCCCACATCTGACCTTCAACCAGCCTTCCTAGACAGCTTCACCAGCAAGCAGCTGCTCTTCCTTAGACATCCCCCTTCCCAATCTCTCTTTCTCTCACTCTCTCTCTCTCTATTTCTGTCTCTCTCTCTGAGGAAACTAGCTAACAAAAAGAAATCCTTGAAGAACCAGAGATTCACCTAGCATTATTATTTTAGTTACACTGCTTTCAAGTCACAACAAAAAAAATGTGTTCTTAAATTACAGCTGAGATCAGGGGAAAGTTACTACTTGAAAGACGCATATGATCCTTCAAGTTTGGGCTTGTTGTCAAACCCACCTCTATGCTTTAGGCATAAATACAGTATATTTGCTGCTTTTCAGATTAACACCAAGATGGTCTTAAATTTCAGGACTATTTTCCTCTATGTTCTTTTTCTTCAAAATAAAGATTATTGTTAAGGATGAGATGTTACGTAGTTTATTCCACAACATTAGGGATTTGCAATTCACATTTTACAAACTTAACATTTCACTTGCTCTTACTGTCTTGGTTTTCAGTCACCGTACAGAGTGAGATGAACAGCTCTCAACAGTTTCAATATATATATTATTTGGGTTAAGCAAAATCAAATCAGACTGTGCATTCTTGGTGTACACCACATTATTCTCTTAAGACTATACATGAGGCAAAACTGAATTTTAAAACTATTCTAATGTATGCGTAGTGGTTATTCTTGAAAAAGGTCCCTGCCATTGCAAGATATCTTACCTATTTGAGAAATAGTCCATCTACAGGTAACAGCAAGAGATTGGGACTCTTACAAAACAAGAAAAACTAACATGATTTTCTCTATGTATATATCATATATTCCTTGTTTTAGATTTCAGTTCAGAAGTATATGAAATTATACACTCCAGCAGAGATTTCAAACTTAAGAAAGACTTACAAGATTTCCCAGCAGGTTTTTTAACTGTTGATCTATTTCTTTCAGCCGGATTTGTTGATCACGTTGTTCCTTAGTGTCTCGTAGAACCTTTTCACCTGGGGCTGCTTCCAGATTTCTATTTGCATAAGCCAGAGATTCCTGACAAAAACAGAAATGGCCAGAATTAAACTATGTTAAAGTACAAGACTTTAGCAAAAGTGCTAAGTTGACTTCTACAAAACTGGAAACATTTCTATTTAGACATTATTTGTTAATTTTACATTTTGGCCACTGTAAATTTTGTGTTACGCATACGTTTACATACAGTATTTAATCTTTGGATAGGATCAATGCAACAAAAAATACTTGGTAACTGTTCAGATTAGAAAAGGAAAATAAGTGCTCATATTCAAAATTTCTATTCTAAAATTCTGTTAAAATACACAAAAATATTTAACAATGATGGCAGTATTTTTCAAAATTGCTCAACACTGAGTTAACTGCCACTGACTTAAGGAGGAAAAGAATTAACTCACTTTTGAAAACTCATACCTGTGACAATTCTGTCACCCACAAAACTTGTGGACTTCCTTTGCACAATGGACCACATGGGGATGTAAATGGCAAAACCCTACTCAATCCCAGACCCACACAATAAGGCACATGCAGCTAAACTGCAATCACTATATATTACTGGCCAGAGCTCTACAATTTTAAAATATTCAGTAGTTAAGAACCAGATTTGGATGGTCTTACTCACAATGAGGATTATCTTGCTCCCTGAGTGAGCTTACTGAAATCATTCAAGGAGCATAGTACTACCCAATGCAACTATGAATAGTGTAGAACTTAACCCACTTGGAATGCTAAATGTTGGCAAACCTGCAAAGTGGCATATGAATGACATAATAAGAGCTTGGCTTTGGTAACCAAGGAGCCAATGCAAGAATCCAAGTCATAGAGTAGTCCAAGAAATAGCAGAAAATAAAACTTGCCAAAGTCTAATTACCTTTAACCCAAAAAGCATGCCCAACCATTTAAATAAAATCCCAGTTTAATCAATCACTCTTATTTTCAGAAGCAAGTGAAGCATTCCTGATTGACATACACTCTTAAGCAAGGAAACCAAGTAGTGTATCTCACTGGAAGGAAGGAGTTTTCTAGATTTCTACAAAAATTCTCAGCTTCACTTTTCAAAGTTGTGACAATTTAAAAACAAATATTTTTGTAACCATTGTGCATATGACAGGTAAGCGAGCTCTGGGCTTTAAACCATAATACTTTGTATAACATGCAACTTATTTCTTAATTGACTAAGTGCAAAAAGCCTCAGAGCAATAGCTCAAAAGAGGCTTATTGGGGTAGCACAGTTAAAGGCACATCAGTTTATGCAGCCAATGGCACACGAGAGCCACAAGCTACAAAAACTGGTGTGCCTCCCACCATGCAATATTACATCTAGCCACTTTTGACTTCCCAGCCCACCCTCCAACTCAAGCCAGGTATACCAGCCCAGCAACTGCTGCTGCTGCTGCTCCCTTCCCTCCTCCTCCACTGACAGCCCCACCCCTGCATGAAAAATTAACCCTCAAGGTAAGACAAGTTTCCTATGGTGTGCTCCAAAGCAGAGCCCCTTAAAATGTTACCTGATTAGATCAGGATTAATTTTTTTGCATGACCGGTCATTTTAGAAACACTTTGTAGCCATGCATGTGTGTTTGATCATAGCTATCTTTCAGGAGCCAGATTGTGCAAAAATGTCACTTCTGTCTCCACCCAAAGTTAAGTACATAAGAACTTTTAACTTCTTTTTTTACTCACATTTAAGATGCAGACCATTTTTAGAAGAAGCATTTGTTTTAAAAAGTACACCTTACATTCAAAGGATATGGTATATATACACAATATAGGAATTCTGTATATAGGAATTCTGTATTAAGACAGAATTTAATATCAATATAGAGCTCAAATATAAGATTTGAGCACAACATTTATTGGTAACTAATTAGAGCTTTCTTCTCCAGGGATTGAAATATAAGCAAAACAGTCAATTAAAGTGAAAAAGAAAAGCCTGAGGCAGTTTATTTAATTTGTTTTACAAGTTATAGCTCCTTTTGCATTTAAATCACAATTTTAAAACTACCTTCTTGATCAGAACATTTCCCCTCTCTTCAATTTCTTGTCCACTTTTATGTAATGGTCACCTCTGAGCTTTGACAAAACCCAAGGGAAGAAGCCCTCCCCCAGCTTGAAGGGGAAACATTCCAATCTGAAACTCATGGCAGAATCTGTTCTGTGGTTATCATTCAAGTTTATATTTATAATAAAACTAACCAATTGCCCATCAAGAATGACAAGTGGTGGGGCGGGGAGGGGGCTGGGATGGAGTGCTGCCATACCGCCCCCTGGGATGGGAGGGAATGCTGCCACGCCCCATGCTACTGTCCACAGGTGGGCGAAAGCCAGGCCAACCTGGCAGGGAAGGAGCAGCAGGCCCGGGCCAACCCAGCAGCAGCACAGGGACGGGAGGAGCAGGCTCAGGGATGACACGGGAGAGCGGGGGTGGAGAAGGAGTGGGCCCAGGCTCAATGGGGGGACAAGTCTCACTCCTCCCCTCCCCCAGCCGCTGCCATATTGGGCTAGGCCTGCTGTTCCACCTGCCATTGCAAGCCGGCTTTTCCCTCACTTGGGCCCGCTCCTGCTCCCCCCCCACATTACCTGCAGGGAGCAAGGTGGGGGAGGGAGCAAGGCCAGCCGTGATGGCCTCGCTCCCCACTTCCATCCACTCTGTTGCCACTACCCCCAGGGAGCAGGGTGGGGGGAGCAAAACCAGGTGACCTCGCCCCCCCCATGAAATCCACTGCATCCCCACCATCATGGCGGTGGGCTGCCTTCTGTCAGAATGCTTCTTCGCACTCTGATTGGCTGTTTGTCAGCCAATCAGACTGCAAATAAAGTATTACAAACAGATAGACAGACAGACTTAGGCTTTTATAATATTAGAATGATGGTTATAATAATAAAGCTATGGTTATAATGTGTTTAGAAAAATAACTGTATGTTACAAATATATATGTATATATGAGAACATATAATTAGTGTTAATGAGACATCACTAAATGATGAATTGTCTTTTCCATTAATTTTCCTACGGTATTTCATTTGGAATTTCTTGGCATGGGGCTAGCAGGTGGATATTTTTACATGAACTTAGACGTCAATAAAGAATTCAGATTGACTTTAACAAAGAACTCAAATTGCATGTAATACTATTAGAAAAGGTTTTATCTAATTACCAGGGCAACTTTTAAAAGGTAATGCTGAGAGAAACCACTTGAACCAAAAATTATTGTCTTCAAATTCCTTTTTCTCCCCCTTTATGTTTTCCTGAACAAAGCGGGTTGCTGAGGGGCAGTAAGGAGGGAATTACTATCATTGACCCTGGGCCCTACATACACTATGCTTTACTTTTTTCACATAAATAGTTCTATTGACTTGAGAGGAAATACTGACATAAGTACTTGCAAGAGAATGCCCATGGAAAGACACTGCATCCTAAGTTATATTTCATTTTGCCACTTTAACCTTCTCCAAACCACTCTTTAAACATTCTCCTCTGCTCTAATGCCTAACAATTCCTGCCAGCTGACAATGCTTAGGCAAATACTGAACACTGAATTAAAATTACTGTCTACCAGCTGCTTGTTTCAGATTTTTCTTATGAGTTCTACCCTACCCTTTTTTCCATTCCAAATGTTTCCTCTTGTCATATACCAAAGAGTTAAATGGAAATAAAGTACAAATTTTCTATTTAACTTTAGCAAAACCATTAGCAAAATGTAGTCTGTATTTCCAATCAGGACTCTAACAACTACCACAAACATAATCTATAATAACAAAAACAAGCAGGGCATTTTGTTTGGAAAGTGTGCCCTCCTGGGAATTTTTTGACCTCTGAACCCAGCCAAATAAAATTCTCCACATTTCTAGGAGGTAAGCAAAAAGACATGCAATGACTAATACATACTTTACCCTTTAGTCTGAGAAAAAGAACAAACAAACAAACAAGTCATTCAGCTGATTTAACTGCATATGAGTAAGTCTCCTCCACTACCGAGATTTTTACTGAGTTTGAGTCTGAAACAAAAGGTTTATAGAGTTGGCTTTTGAAAATAACTGATAATTAAAGAGTGACAAATCAAGTGCTACATTAGGTTAAAAGTCTATTAAAATAATCTACCATTCCAAAATGTTTGTAGAACTAAAATGTATGTCATGACTAAAAAGCAAAAAGAAGTCTCCAATTAAGGCAATTTTAGTGCCCATGCCATAAGCCTACATGTAATAACTACTCTGAGGAATTGTGCATTGCAGCAGAAACACCCAGCTGCACACACATTTGATACACAATGAATCAAATTCTGGACACAAAACCTTAAATCAAAATTTAACATTTTCTGTAGAGATATTTGTAAAGTAAATGTAGCAAATATGATTTAATGGAAAAAGCTTTAGGCTTTGCTTTTGAATGTGATTCAAACAAATTTGGATGAAGCTGGAGATACCTACACACTCCTAACTACACTTATGCATTCTAGTCAACTTCCTTACCAAGTCCTCTTACTTTACATCTGTGTCTGTTTATCCCAACTCAGCCTCACCTACATGATGTTCATCTCTGTTAAGGTCCATATAACAGCAGTATAACAAATGCTTGTAACATTCACTGTTTTTCATAAAGCCCCAGATTCTGGTATAAGTTTATTAAACAAGTTTTCTTTAATCTTCATTTTAAGTAAGCTTGTTTCCAGAGCTGAAGACAGAAGTTAGAAAATGTTAAATTTATATGCTCAAATCCAAGAATTCAAAGAGAAAGGACATCAAATTTATTTAAAGGACTTTAAAGTCAAATCTCATGGATTTTTGGGACCCAATTCCCAACTTTTTTTTCCAGTGCTTGGAATTAAAAATAATGTTCTAAGTAATAACCAGTTCTGTTATCCTCCCATCACCACCACCTCCACCACCCTTCCCCCCCCCCCTTCCAGCAGTACAATTCCTCTTCCCTCAGGGCATTTGGTGCACTGGACGATATATATAACATTTCTGGAGGTGCAGCGATAAGTTCCAGGAATGGCTATGATTCTGTTGTGGGATGT